CAGGGCGCCCGCGGGCAGGTGGGAAGCGCGTTACGGGGATCGGGCGCGGCGGCCGCCCCGGGGCTGGTGGGGCTCGGCCGGGCACTGGGGGGGGCGTGCGGCGGCTCCCAGAGCCGGTGGGATGTGGAGGCTTCTCCCCGCCTCTGGCTGGTGTTGTGCCCCGTCGCCTCGGGGAATCGTGCGTGTCGTGTGCGGGAGCTGGCCCCTCGCAGCGGGGTCCTGGGCATCGGGGCTGCCAGACGCCGGCTTCACCCGCCGCTTTTTGCCAGCGGGGATGCGTCATCATCGCCCAGCAGTGACGTAGCGCGGACTCGTGGGAGGCCTGGGTGAAGCTTGGCTGCCTTCGGGGTGGATTCAATTTAAATCACTGGTCAGAAAGCTTCGGTTTCATCTTTGTTTTTGATAAAAAAGTGCACTACTTTCTGGGTTCTGTAAGTTGTAGAGGTGTTGGTCTAAGGACCGAGGTAGACAAGGTTCTTTGGGTAAATCTGATATCTTTTGTTAGACCAACTGGAGTTGGGCTTGTAAAAGATATCAGATTTACCTACAGAACCTTGTCTGCCTATTTTTGATAGGACTTTTATTAGAATATCCCCCAAGAGGGTCTCTCTCTACCTTCTGCCAAGCCTGCTGCCCTGATAGGCCTTCCCTTCTACCATGCTATTCCCTCACTAGATCTTAAATCAAGGGAGAGGATATACTCAGAAATGTATCCCTCAAGATTTCTGGAATGTTCTGCTGAAAATGTTCCTTTTGTTTCTATTGCCCTTCCCTCCTTGGTTTATGTCCCTACTTCTCCTTGCCCAGATCTACTCCATCCCCAGCAATCCTCTGTTGCAGCGGTTCCCAAACTCTGACAGATTGTGCACCAGCAGCTTAAAATGATGCAGCCTTAAGAACCCTGAGCAAATTTTTCAGTTCAACCTTTAAGAACCACCAGCAAATTTTGTCAAATAAAGTAATTATCATAAATCTGTTAACATGTACCACTGACAAGTTGTCTGCATGCCACAATCTGTACCTGAACCACAGATTGAGAGCTGCCGCTCTATTCATTTAACTTCTTGAAACTGCACTCCTAGAGAGAAGTAGGGGCTTGACTTTGTGTATGCAGCTTAGAGACAAGAGGGCTGATGGGTAGGTAATCAGGTCTGTTAGCTCTCATCACCATGTACTGCCCTTAACAAGGATGTTATCTCTGGAGACAAATCCACAGTTTGCTAACTGAAATTAAGCATCACAGAGATGCTTAATGGAATCTTCTAGACCAGGGGTTTTCAACCTTTTTGGATCAGTACTGCCAGCCACTTGACATGGAGCAGTGTACTCCTGGCAGCTGGGGTGAGGGTAGAGGGCAGGGGTGCATGGCTGCCGCGTGCAAGCTTCCCCTGTGTCCAGCTGGGTGGGTGGCGCTTGCACAGCAGTGTAGGATGTCTGGCAGCACTCCCACCTCACCCACCTGTGCCTACCCCTTACAGCAGGAATTCCCAATCTGGTACACGTACCAGTGACAGGCTGCCTGCATACCAGTGGTGGTATGTGTCCACAGATTTATTATAATTACTTATGTGACAAAGAGCTGCTGGTGGTACTTAAGGCTGTATTGTTTTAAATTGGTGATGCACAATCGGTCAGTTTGGGAACTGCTGCCCATGGGCCTTCTCAGGTACCCCTGGGGGTATGCATGCCTCTGATTGACGACCCTTATTCTAGACTGAGCTCTGAGTTCTGTTGGGTAGAGTGGTTTTCTTTAATCTTTACTAATCTATAGAGGACCCTTTGGAAACCCCATAAGATTGGGCCCCTAATATAGTCCATGGCCTGTTGTGACCTATCTATAAAACTTTTCTTAAAAAGTTACATGAATATATTGTCTCAAATAGTATATAGTTAGAAGTTATTACCCATATCCCATGATGATATCTTTGAGCTCTAACATATTTTAAGTTTAAACTACCTTTTATATAGCTTTATTTTTTTAAAATCATCTTAATAAAATATGTGATGATTACATCACAAAAATTAGATTTAAAATTTTTTAAAATCTGATTTTTTTGTTTGTTTTAAAAAATCATTGATTTTTATCCACCTGTCTGCTTTGCAGACAGGTGGATAAAAAAAACATTTTTTTTTAATGTGAACCTATGATGTCTACTACTGCCCCTGCCTAAGAGTGGTTTGTTTGTTTGTTTGTTTTTATATACCTATGTGGTGCCCTCACTTCCTGCACTGAGCCTTGTTCAGCAATTTTTGTTTTTTTTAAATGCACAAAAGACTTCATACACCTGCACAGAAATCCAAACAAAATAACCCTTTTGAAATCTCTGCTTATCATTTGTAGAGAGAGAGGTCTGCCCCTTGTATTTGTTATTTTAATAAATATGTCCAGCTTTATTTGAAATACCACTTTTATCTTTACAGGTAAGACCTCTAGTTTTGAAGATGCCTCTCTTTGGGAAAATTGTTGTTATTAAACGGAATGGGGCGGATGGAATTCACTTTCCGCTCACTGCAAGTTCTTGTTTATTTGGGAGGTAAGAATTGGCAATATTACTCGTGTATTTGTGCCTTGAGAGATGTATTGGCGTTGTCTTTTTATTAATGGTTTTTGTGTTCATTTTATCATTTGAGTACTTACTGTTTAAAACAAGTAGTGGAGGCATAAACTGTTTAACTCCTGCTGCAATTGCTCTTACTGCCTGATGTAGCTGCTTCTCAGAGTGGAAGAAGGCATGTATACCCCTAGTCACACCACAGATGCACAAAATTTGTCTAGAAAAAAGCTGGTAATAGTTTCTGTCCTTGTTTCTGGTTGGTGCTTGTCAAGGGGCGGGACCACCCTTGTAGCCCTCAACAGTTCACCAAAACATGTTAAGCAGCCTTCCAGCCAAAATAATTGCCCATCACTGATCTAGTATGTTGCTTTCTATTTGCTTATACTTGAGGAAAGTAAATGCTAGAGTTATAAGTTCCAAAATAAATGCTTAATGGAAAGCATATGTTTATGCAAAATCAAAAAATGAATATAATTCACTAAACCTGTTAAATTACTGGAGTTTAACACTTGATTGGAAAAACAGCTTGTGCTAGAGCTTGTCTACATTTGATTTTTTGGGGGCTGCAGCCATGCTTTTGCAATGATTTTCCCAAATTTGACAGATGTATATGGCTTGCAGGTACATGTTTGACTTTATATTTGCTTGAAACTCTACTAGGGAGAATCTAATTTAATGGGTTTTGGATTTTATTTAGAAGAGAATTTTTAACTTGGCTTCTCAGTGCTTGTGTTAACTTAAACATATTTCTATTGCTTTCTTTAGAGAGCACCATGCAGTTTCATAAATATTATTAAGTGATCATGTATGTAGCTCAGTAGTGAATTTTGAAGAACAACCAAGTGCTTTGTTCTCTTAATCTTTAAAACTAAATTTGTACTTTTCACCCTAAGAAAAACAGAGTGCGACATCCGTATCCAGCTGCCTCAGGTTTCCAAAGAACATTGTAAAATAGAAGTAAATGAGAACAAGGAGGTAAGTGGCTTTTTTTTAATTGCATTTATAATTTGTATTTTGATCGCATTGTATCATTTTATCTGTTGAGGTTACTTAATTGACTGTTGTTTCATTTTTAGGCAATATTGACTAATTTGAGTAATGTAAATCCAACACAGTTGAATAGTAGCAGTTTTCAGCAACCTGTACATCTGAAGCATGGCGATATATTAACTATAGTTGATCGTTCTTTTAGGTAAGTAACTGAAGAACAGTGAGGTCTGTGCAGAGCACTATTCACTTTAGTGATTCTCCACCTGGACATAAGGGATCTACCCGTTGTGGGATTAGGTCCAGAGAGGATAACTTTTCCCATTTATCTATTGCTGATGTTTAATGTTATGTTTAAAATTTCTTACAGAGGTTTTCAACTTACTTTATTTCTGCTGTGCAAAATATTGTCTGGACTGTTAGAGTGTACTGTCATCTTTAAACTACTTAGAAATAAACTACATATTGCAGCATTGTCTTCATACCCTAGCATGACTTTTTTCCAAGTCTACATGTTTTGAAGATGCACGGTTGGCTTATAAATAGGGCCCTGAGAAAATCACGACTTTGTGGACTTTGCAGAAACTGTGAAATTTGCTCCACACTGGGATTTTTATTTTTTTTTAAGGGTCACAAGCATAGGTGGCAGAAGGAACAGGGCTAATGGGGCTTAGTCCCCCAAAACATGGGGCAGCACAGAGGGCTGAAGGGCAGCTGGGGCATGGGCTTCAGGCGGCTGCAGCAGGGTGGGGCACGCATGCACAGCTGTGGAGCCTGCAGGCAGCTAGGATTGCAGCCACATTGTGTGTGGAGCACTCCCTACCATAGCAGGTAAGTTGGAGAGGGGGTGGGGGGCAGAGGCAGGGGCTGGGGTGAATGGCAGCTGCCCTCCCCTATGCACAAAACCAGGGTACACGTGCCCCGGACCTCTTCTGAGGTGCGTGCAGCAGCGGGAGCCCCCCTGCACTCCTGGATGAGCCACCTAGGCTTCGAGCGTCCCATGATCTGCCCCAGGGTCCCGTTCACCCCTGTCCCTGCCTCTGCCCCATTCCCTTCCTCACTATGGGGGCCTCGATCTGCACCCCCACCAACTTACCTGCTATGGTAGGCAGTGGTCTGCATGCCATCTGGCTGCAGTCCCGGCTGCCTGCAGGCTCCATGTCTGTCATTGTGCACCCCTCCCCCTGCTACAACGACCCAGAGCCGGTGCCTGGGCTGCCCTGTGGCCCTCTGTGCTACCTTGCATTTGTGGGGGTGCTAAGCCTCATTAGCACCAGACTTCCGCTGCCTATGCCTGCCAGCCACACATGTGCAGGTAAAATATAATTTTTCACAGAATATTTACAAACTGCCAGGATCCGTTTGTCTAGATCTGTGGTAGTTCCATGAGTATTCCATGAAAAATGATACTTTACCCATGCACATGTCATGAGTTTTCTACGAGAAATCTGTAAATTTCTCAGGGCCCTACTGATAGTAAACAGTTTAATATCAGTGGGAGTATTGTTAGAAATGGACAGTTGTTACTGTGCTATTTACCTTAAATGTTCATGTTTAAACAGCATAAATATGACATAAGCTAAAGTTTTCTTTTATTCTTTTTTTTTTTTTTTCAAAGGTTTGAATATCCTCCTCAGTCTACTCCAAGAAAGAGATGTTCTAGGTCTCCAAAAAGTGAAACCCTGCAGGTAATATTAAGTTAACTGACTATTTATTGCAGATGTGTGCACGTGCTAATGCAAAGTAGATTACTATTGGTATGATGATTTCTTGTCCTCCACCCATACTTTTTTCCTGTTGCTGTGGTTGGGAACTCCTGGCTCCACTTCCTGCTCTTGCACCCAGGGGAGGGATTGCCACAACCCTACGTGGTGTCTAGCTGCTCAGAAGATGGGCAGCTTTGATCTGAGATGTTAGTAATAGGATTTTTTGTGGAAAGAGGCAGTGTGGTTTTTTTTTAAAATAGTGTTGTTTTTAAGAGAAAATGGGATGCAGACCTACAGCTATTTACATTATTTTTTTTTTTAGGGGTGCACCGATTAAAGATTTTCTTAGCTGATACTGATAGTCAATTATTAACCGACCCTATTGGCTGATGCTGATCCAATAATCGCTATTTAGCAATATTGCAAGGCGTTTTAAACTACTGACACAAACCCGTTCTGTTTGTTTGTTTTGCATCTATCTCGCATGTGTGTGTGCACGCGCACACACACACACACACATCCTGTGCTGCTGTCCTAGACAGGCAGGGTGGACCCTCATGCGGACAGCGGCACAGGGCATGTTTGGAGCCCCAGAGCTTGCAGCTGTCTCAGTGCCAACAGGCCCTGCACACCTGAGCTCTTGCAGCCACCAGGGAGAAGCTGCTTTTGCAAAGGTCCCTGGTGTCTAGCAGAGCAGAATGTTTCTCGTGTAGCACCTTAACCTGCTTTTGTGCAGCCTAATGTCTCTGCAGCAGCCCCAGCACTAAGGCCTCTGCTGCATGTGTTAGCATTGCCATGGCAGCAGGAGCCAGTAACAGTCCCATTTACTGTTGCTGAGCATGGCACCCTATGACGGTTTCCTGGCGCCTCTGCCCCCCTCCCCCCCCACTGCTGCTTGCTTGGACCTGTAGTCTGCTGTGGCCATGGGCCAGCAGCAGGGCATGGGGACTGAATTACTCAGCAGGATGTTCTGGGCTCACCGCTGTAATTATTGGCTACAACAGCCAAAAAAGGCAGTAGCTAATAATATCATTTTGCCTTTTATTGGTGCCATTCCAATAGCCAACCAATACGTCAGTGTATCCCTAATTTTTTTAATCTTTCTATTTTTATTTACATAATTTCCAATCTGTATACATTTCAGGAATAAAACATAGCACCGGATCCCTGCTACAAAATATTTACAACGTCCTTGTTGCCAGAGGTGGTTAGAATTTATGGGAGATGAGTAATGCACCCGTTAGTGGTATGGTTATCGAACTGTCCAATCAAGGAGTCTAAAGGAGTTAAAATTTAAGTTTTTGAAAGCTTAAAATTGGGTAGCTTTCTTTTAAAAAGTAACCTGTTGGGTACTTTGGATGATTGGTGCACTTGTGCAGCATTGCCTCTAAAGAGCAGAGTGTAATGTTTTATATACAGGCATACCTCGGAGATATTGCGGATTCGGTTCCATACCACCGCAATAAAGCGAATATCGCAATACAGTGAGTCACACGCGTTTTTTGGTTTCCCAGTGCATATAAAAGTTATGTTTACACTATACTGTAGTCTATTAAGTGTGCAATAGCATTATGTCTAAAAAAAATGTACATACCTTAATTAAAAAATACTTTATTGCTAAAAAATGCTAACCATCATCTGAGCCTTCAGCGAGTGGTAATCTTTTTGCTGGTGGAGGGTCTTGCCTCGATGTTGATGGCTGCTGACTGATCAGGGTGGTGGTTGCTGAAGGCTGGGGTGGCTGTGGCAATTTCTTAAAATAAGACAACAATGAAGGTTGCCACAAACCTTCAATTTGTAAAAAAAAAAAAAAAAAAAAAAGCAATATCTGCGAAGCGCAAGAAAGTGAAGCACAATAAAACGAGGTATGCCTGTATTCATCTTCACAATAAGCAAGGTTTTTACCTTTTCAGCAAAGTTATTTGCTTTTCTAGAAATCTCTTACTCAGGTTATCTGTTGAAACTTTTTTCCTGGAGAGTATGGTTAATCCGATGAAATTATGACCATTGTTATATATCTGAACCCTGTTGGAAAATATTTAAATGATCAGGCTACCCCTAAGTCCAGTAGGCATCAGTCTGTATGAGATCTCAATTTGTTTTATTTGTTATCAAAATTTAGCTGCATGGATGCTTAGATTATATGCTCGTTTAGAATCAAACACTATTCCAAGAATGCGAAATAATAAAACTGTCTTACAGGTCCTTGAGTACACATTTTACTTGAGATGCAACCTATGTCGTCACTTGTAATAATTGCACATTTTCATAGAATAAGTGGATTTAACTTTATTTTGTAAATCGTTACCCAGAATTTGTTTTGGTTACGGAAGGAAACAACATTTCTGTGCCATTCTAAATGTAATTTAGACCACTATATTTGTAACTCAAAAGATGTATTTATTGCCCTGCCATAATACTGTACAAATTTACAGGTTCTTCATGTTCAGCAGGTGGCAGAAGTGGAATCATTACTTACAGAGACTGCAAGATCTAAAGGTCCTCATGGTTCTGGTGGGTAATTGTTTCATCTTTGTTTGTCTTTCAATAATGTATAGACACTTTAACAAGCATGTTAAGCATAAAATGAGATGGGGATAAGGGGCATGTCAAAAGATATTTATCTGAGAGCTGATAGATCAGATAGAGCCTGTCCTTGGCACCATGATTTAGAAATCTCACATGTTTCAGAACATTTAGAAATGTTAGAAAACTCAAAATGTGGTTGTACTGTGAAAAACGATGGTGAAAATACAATTGGTGGACTATTACAGTTTCAGTGGATTGCTTATTAAGTTTGATTTAGACTAAAAGAAAAAAGAAATGATGTTAAAAATGCCAGCCCTGCAAATCCCGCACACTTCTCAGTCAAAACTGGTATTTTCTGACTATCTCCTAATGCAGTGGTCTCCAACTTTTCTTTGGTGAAGATGACTTTTTGTAAGTAAAGGGCATCCCAGGATCTACAGTCTCTGCCCTGGCCAGCCCTACCCTTGCCTTGCCTCCCCACCTGGACAAGCCACCCGGGTTCTGACCCCACTCACCTGGGTGGCAGGGGATGTGCTCAGCTTAGCTACATGTGTCCTGTCGCCCCTGATCGTGGAACCTCTGACAGACTGAGATTGACTGTCAGAGGCTCCATGATCGACCAGTCGATTGAGATCGGCTGGTTAGTGACCACTGACATAATGGATAATCAAATTTTTAGACCTAACTTCTGCCCTCTAATGACATTCAATAAGTATAACAAGGCAAGTTAATCCATACAGTTGAGGATTTAACTAGCAATTCTGATAGTGTATGACAGGGACAGGCAGGATGTGGCCCACCAGGCCATTCTATCTGGCCCGCAGGGCCCCTAAAAATTTCGAAAATTAATATTTATCTGCCCCTGGCTGCCTGTCATGCAGCCCTTGATGGCTTGCCAAAACTCAGTAAGCGGCCCTCCGCCTAAAATAATTGACTGCCCTGGTGTATGAGCTGAAATAAAATTAGATTACTCCCCAAAGCTAATACTATACCAGCTCTGTAGTACCAAAAGAAAAAAAAGAGTAACATTTTTATGCAAGAATATATTTTTGATGCACATAAGGAGTAGACCAACTGACTGAAAAGTTGCTGTTCACAAGTTTTGTACAATAGAGTTGCTTTAGTTTTTCCTTAACTTAGTGTTCTTGCACTTCTATCAGTGCAGCTATACTGCTAGTGCTAATATGGAGAAGGTAAGAGGTTTTCTACAGCAGTGTCATTACACATGAAGGCCTTTCTTGACAACAGTCTACTGATTGATATGCAAGTTACTCCAGTACTATGTGGAAAAATTTCCAACTCCCCAGTAGATTTTTGTAGATTCACCTTGCTCTTTAAGGTATTTTGTTCAGAATAATTTATATTCCCCCTGCCCCACAATCGTATGTCTAATGCAAGAGCCTGTAGAGTTCTCTCCAGTTTGCTTTTTACAGCTGACTGACTGGGGATCACCTTGTCCTCAAATTACCTGCTCAATACAAATAACACTGTTATACTGCTCATAGTAGAGGTTACTTGGAGCAGCTTGAAGGTCGTACATGAGCTTTTTCATTGCTTTTTCATGGGGAAAAAAAAAAATCTTTAAAAAGCAACGATTTTTTTTTCTGTAAAGCCAAATATTTTAAAATGTTGTGACATGCCTGCACCTGAACTTTTGAAGGAATCTGAACTTTTTGTGTGTGTGTGGGGAAAGTGTATTCGTGTTTGTCAGCAGCTAAATAATACTGATACCAAGAGGAGGACCTTAAGAGCCATGTAGACTGTTTAATATAAATGAGGGATGTTAAACACATGGTCTGTAGAGCTCTTCCATCAGGCCCCTGGTGCTGTCTCTGACCCATTTTGGGCATGGCTTGCACCAGTGGTATGGGGCTGGTCTGCAGTCCTTATCAGGCTCACAAATCCCTTCTCATCCCCCAGTGCTTCCACAAGCATATCTGATCTGATTACTTCCTGCCGCCTCCTGCAAACAGCACAGGCCTGCCCAGAGCCTGGGTTGACTGTGGCGGGTGTCCAGGAAGCTGCAACCTGCTACACCAAGGTCCTCAGAGCTCTGGCCCGGCTTGTTGCTAGTGGTTAGTGCATGTGCAGCTTGGGGTGGAATGTGGGGAAGGGGAATGGTTGTGCTGCCACAATAAGGATCGGGCCCCTCGCAGCTTCTCCGCTGTCCACCCCAAATCACCCGTGCACCCACTGTTAGCAATGAGCCAGGCAGGCTGTATGCTGCTGCACTGAAGTCTGCGGAGCCCCAGCCCAGCTCATTGCTGGCATGTTTTACTAGTGGTGAGCTTATTAGAAAAATGTAAATGATGAGACTAAACAAATTTCATTTGGTAGGCAAAACTAGAGTACTGATAATTCTATCCTGGTGATAGTTCCTGATTGCTCTTGTAAATACAAATACAGAAACAGAAAATATTATTTAAGGGGAAATCTGTTTTTCTTCCTTTTTATAATATTAGCTACCATTTTTAAAGTAAAATACATATGTGGATGGTTCTTTTTATCTTTTAATATTGTATAGATGACAGTGAGTGTGAAGGCCAAAATGCTGGTGAGAATAAGCAAAACACTGAGGAAAATATTACCAGACCTAAATCAGCCAAGAAAGCTGCAACACCCAAGTCTGCATGCAGAACACCCAAGTCTATCAAAAAAGAAAATAAGATGTCTCCTTTTAGCCAAATTTATGAATATCTGAAGCATGAGAATGAAATTAACAAAAGTCAGTCAGAAGACAACATACAACAGCAAACACGTATATCAAGATGTCTACCTGGTCAAGGGAGCCAGATTAAGATGGACGCAATCGTTAGGGAAGATGCTAAAGAGTGTAAAGTTAAACAAAACATACATGGCTTGGAACATAATCAGTTTACTACTGAACAAAATGGTTTGGAGAAGAGATTTTCTGGAAATCATCGAACTGTTGATTCAAATCAGAAACCAATAGATTTAGAAGAAAAAAATGACTTGCCTTTGCAGGACTCTGCTGAAACCTATGAACAAAATGTATCAAGAAAATCTGAAGTGACTAAGTGTATCGCAATTAAATTAAAGAGAGTGAGTGACCAAAAAACAGCATTTTCTCCTAAGTCATGTACTATAGAATCCTTGGGAGACATTGCTCAAGTACTCCCCCTTGGAACACCAATAAAGCACTCAACAGAGGCAGCTAATGAAGATAGCTTGACAAGCATTTCTGAAACCACTGAATACTCTGCATCTACACCAAGGTCTAGAAGGAAGGGTCGTCGGTCTCATTCAAGCTCATCTACAAGAGAAACCAATGAAACAAGTTCTATAAGTACAGACACATCACTAACTGGACAAGACTTCTTGTTAATGCTTAAGCAATCAACAGAAATTCAATCTGAAATTCAAAAGGAGGGTGTAGTGAGCAAAAGTGATGGAAATGAACTGTGTGTTTTGGCAGAAATTAATAAAAATTCTAAACAAAAGAGAAATTGTAAACTGCTTACACCAATAAAATCTTCAAGTGCAGAAGAAGTGGTGAAAGAAATTCATGATGAGACTTATTTTGCCTCAAAAGGGAGAGATTCTGAAATTCATACTCCTTCTCCTGGGAAGAGTAGTTTCCAAAGCACCAGAAGGAGTGGTAGTCAAAATAAGGAATTGCGAAGTAAAAGTCTGCATTCAGAAATGCTTTCTCCAGAAAAGGTAGCAACAAAGGATGCATCTCCTACCATCTGTAAATCTCATTCTGGGACTCGAAGAGGTAGACCAAGGACCTCTGGACAGCAGATCGAAAAGGCACTGGAGAGGGATTCGTTTCAAGAACATGACAGGAGTGTAGACAGCAACAAAGAGGAATTGGCTGCAAAGAGTTGCCAACAGAAATTAGATTTGGAAGATGCTTCTATTATGCCAAGATGTCATACACTGTCATCAAAAAGATGCTCTGAAAGTATTGTTTTGAAAGATGATGAGATTGTTTCTGAAATGAGTGCTTGTGATCTGTCTGCTAAAATAGAAAAGTCAGGTAAGTGCTTCTGATATGATTGTTAAAAGCTATATTTTGAATTTATTTGGGATATTCTTTAATGTTTTATGCAGGTAAAGAAGTGTGTCCTTCTGTTGGCACATCCATCTTCAAATGTTATGTAATTATAGTTAACCATAACTAATACCTGCTTGACAAAATGTGCATACCCTTTAGTTGTATTTTGTAAAGATACGCTTACTGGTATACAAGCAAAAATGGGTATACATTTTATTATGTATATCACTGAATATGCCTCAAACGTTAAGTAGTTAAAAACTTATTTTTTATATCCTGGGTAGAGTATAGTTTTTCTGGATTCCTACATGTATGGAGACACTTTTTTCAATGCTTTGGTTTGTAGGTGAATTGAAGAGGTCACTGCAAAAACGAAAAAGTGGTAACAGCGATTTGTCACTTCAGCCCCTTGGGAAAAGGAAGAGAGTGTCTTTTGGTGGTCATCTGAGTCCTGAACTTTTTGATAAGAGTTTGCCTCCTAATTCACCCCTCAAAAGAGGTGCAATTCCAGCAAGACTTAGCTTACCATTTGGAAATTCACCTCGTGCAGTTCTGAAGAAGGCTCAGGGGTTCAAACGTTGTGTAATCAAGGTAAATATTAAAGGTTAGAAAAGCCTGGCATTTCACTTGCAACTTTAAATGGTATTTGAATACTGATGATCTCATTGTAGTTGACTCTTGTATTTTAGAACTTCCATCTATGAAAGTGTAGGCTATCTGTGACTTACTTGAGATGGAGAGAGAAGTGGTCATTAGGTGTCTTAGTCTGAAGTCAGACAGAAAGTAGGGCAGGATGGCTCCTTTATACACTAACAGGTTCAGAGAAACAAGCTTTTCATAGGTGACAGTTTGCTTTCTTAGATATCATTTATGAAGCTGCTCTGAGCCAGTTAATCTATAAATGTGCAGCCCTGCCCTCCCTATTTGAGAGAGGTGTTTTGTTATTGCCTGTCACCTATACTTCCTTTGCATGACAGTAGAATCTAGGAGCCCTGATCCATTAGTATCTATAGAATGTATTGACGAGAATTGAAATTTGTTGGAAAATTATTCCCAAACTTGTGTAAACCACAGCTGTTTTAAACCTTGAAGTTATGTAATGTAGGGGTGGCCAACCTGTGTCTCAGGTGGCAGAAGTGGCATGTGCAGCCTCTGTGTGGCTCGTTGGGGTGAGGACACAGCATAGTGCCAGGTAGGGCAGGGAGCAGAAAGCAGAGCATCAGGAAGCACAGGGCATGATGTAGAAAGCTGAGATGCAGATTAGGTAAAAGGAAGGGATTGGAGTGGCATTTGGGGAGGGTACATAGTTAATTTGTGGCTTCCACTGACATGTAGTCTATGGCATTGTTATGTCCTATCCTTTTATAATGGTTTTGAAACTAAAATGTTAAATGTTTTAACTTTTGAGTTTTTAAAGAAGTAAACCTTAGGTTTTATGATATTTCACTGTTGTATTTACTTTACCAAAAGAACTTGTGTTTAAACCTTTTATAGCAAGAGTTTATTTTCCTTTAGGAACTTTCTGAGCATTTGCAGAAAAAGAAATTGTCACCAAAACGGCCGCCTGCCCGGAGGTCCCCGGCTGCCTCGCCGCCTGCCCGGAGGTCCCCGGCTGCCTCGCCTGTCCTTGAAAATACATCATCTAAACTTTCTGCAAGTACCCCTTCAAATACATCTTTTACAAGAGGGCGCTTCTCAGTTTCTCACATCAGCACACCATCTCCAACTTCAGAGGAGCAGGGTTCTATTGAAGAAAAAATTAATGCAAATACAAGAGATTTTACTCCTGCCAACACACTTGAATCTTTTCATGTTAAACAGGATCATCAGATTTCTGTACCCACTACACCTAAACAGGTAACAAGGCGAAGTGCAAGATTTACTGCAAAGAGAACTCCTGGGAAGAGGAGGAGTGGTGCTGTGGCAGCTGTTCATGCTAAACGAAGGAGTGGTGCTTCTGATGCCAATTTGCTAGGTGTGTATTTAACTAGTTAATTTTAGTACTTTTAAAGAGAGCCAAAGTGAAGCAACTAGTTTTTTCTACAAAGGCTGCTGAATAAGCAGCAATATCTTCTCTCACAGTCTGAGTCTCCTTGAAAATTAGATTTGCAAGTTTTTAAAATCTACATGGAGAAATAATTGCAAAAATTAAGGTGGCAAAGTCGAGCACTCAAAAATTGGGAAGTGCTAAAATGAAGATTATCTGGGCAAGCATAGTTTATTTTTCCTTGCGTCTGTTCATTCTGGTGCATCTCTTTTAATTACATGAATTCTTCATTGTATAGGAGAAGTAGCTAGTCTATTTCTAGCTTTTTTTAGCTTTGTTGTTCAGTGTATGTTTTTATGCTCTTCCAGGGACAGGCAATTGCCTGGAGGGCTGCTTACTGAGCTTTGGCAAGCTTTTGAGGGCTGCATGGATAGCCCGCCCCCTGTTCACCATTTTGGGACCAGAAGTCCTGTCCCAGAACCCCTGACCTTTGCCACCAGAAGTCCCTCCCCTTGCCCCTGGAAGTACTCCTTTCAGCAATGGGATTTGCTATCTCAGAACCAGAAAAATACCAAATTATATTCTAAAAATTAAACATCTACTACAACATTAATTGCTTTGATTTCAAAAAATATTTTGGTCCTGATTTTACATGTTTGTGCAGTGTATGTATATATAATTGTATAATAGCTTAAAATGATGTCTTACTCTTGTATATTGTTGGG